TATGTATAAGTTTTTTAAAAACTGGTTTCTGCTCCCTGCATTATCTTGCTCCTTATTTCCTTTGTTTGGACTGTTTTCCTTTGTTTCCTATCTTACCTGTTAGAGCTTGTCCTCAGATGTGTGGTGGTTCATAACCATCCATTCATATTTAATAATGAGACACTGTGTGCTTGAGTGGGCTTGTGGCGGTGGTGTGCTTCGCTAAAGAGTTTTCGACAGGTAGGCTCCTGTCCATGGCACTAGAAGATCCTAAAGGTCAGTATCTAAAAGCAATTTCCCTTAGGCCAATCAGTTACCCTGTTTCCCAAAAGGAAACCTACCTAAGGGCAGAAGCCTTGTTGCAAGGATGAAGAGAACTAAGAAGATATTTGAGGTGGAGGGGAAGATAGGAGCTCAATGTGTAAACAGACCCTCACTTAACCCCCTGTTTTCTGAATGACACCCACACTTTCAGTGAACTGTGATTCCTCATTTCTGGAATTTCCCTGGTTTCTCTGGGATTGGGCATTTTCCAGGCTTTTGGGGAGGAACTGATAAAGAATTTCAACTTTTTTCCTGTAGCTTGACCTCCTTGAAAAACTTCTGGTCATCTCTCCAATTTTAGCTCAATCCATGTCTTCACAGACTCAATCCAGTCAAACTCAGACTTTGTCAGTACTCCAGCTATTGATCCAAGGGTTGTATTTAGTATATATCGCATTAAAGCAATTATCTTATTGTATTAATATTAAAATCATCTGAGTTTATATTATCCTTGAAGAGCAGATGCTTCATCTCCTTAACTGAGAATCCTGGCTCCCTGGACAGTGCAAGCCATATATTTGACACTCAGCATATTTTCTGCTGTCTGAAGATTCGGAATTGATTCCATGTTAGTCTACGTATCAATGGTTAATCTTAATATACCTTTAGACATTTCTTGACCTCTTAACACAATACCTACTTCACAGGGTTCTTTTGAGGGTGAAACTAAGCAAAGCAAAGTAAATGAGAAAACATGTAGTTAACTGTAAACTGTTAAGTAACTGTAAATAGTTTTTATTTCTACAAGTTCAACATTCCATTAATAAATTATTAAAACTTATAGTGCATTAGGTATAGTGTTAGGATTAGTGAATATAAAAATATGATAAAGACAACGCTACTATTTATTGAATAAACCATCCCATTGTCTATCTATTGTCTGTCAGCCTCTATCTCTGATCTTGTCTTCACTTCTTTACTTCACACATTGTGCTCAAACTTAACTGCCTTCTAGATGTTTCTAGAAGACCTCTATTCAGTTTCACTTCAGAGCTTTTCCTTTTGCCATTCCAACTGTCTGGAACCCTTTGTTCCCAAGTCTGGAGGACTCACCCCTTGCTGCATTGAAGTATCTGCTTAGATATCATCCTCTAGAAAAGACCTCCTCAGACCACCTCCATGCCACTTTCTTTCTTCTTTTCCTGATTTGCTTTTCTTATTTAATAAATTTTCATTTCTAACTAAGAATGTGAGGTCAACAATGCAAACACTTTTTTTTGTTTTGTTCAATGTTGTAATTTTAGTACCTGGATCGATGACAAATATCTTATAAATATTCAATAAACATTTATTGAACAAAGATAAATGTGATAATTATGTGTCATACACTCTCCTAAATGACATACACATGACCTCATTTAATAAAAATTATCACAACTTTGTGACACAAGATTGATAAAGTACAGCATTTTTGCAATATAAATTTCCATTCTTCCACAAAACAGCAGCCTAGATTTATTAGAATTTATTTTAGGTTTCACTTTTAAGCATTGTTTTAATCTTATAAATGCTATCTGAAATATGACCAAAGTGATACTGTACGTGCAACTTTTTCTCTTTTATCCATCAGTGAAATGTCTCTTTTTCAGACCACAGATAAATATAGGAGTCTATGTGCATTTTGGAACTACTCGCCTGATACCATGAATGGCAGCTGGTCCTCAGAAGGCTGTGAGCTGATGTACTCTAATGAGACGCACACCTCTTGCCGGTGTAATCACCTGACACATTTTGCAATTTTGATGTCTTCCGGTCATTCCATTGTAAGACAATTTTCCACTTCATATTTATAAATCTGCCTATTTATGTTCCTTTTTGTGTTTTTTTCAATATCTTTCAAGAAAATAATTAATTTTATATGTTTTTAGGGTGTAAATAGCATATTTAATATAACTGATAAAACCCCAAACTTATCTTTCTTTTAGTCTTTGTTTTCCTACCTGCCTTCTAAGGTATCACATCCATTAATGTGTGGATTGTAGGTTATTTCCAGTCTAGGATTTATGTAGTTTGTAATATCTAGTAGAGTACATGGTAAATTAGTTTTGAATGCTTCTTTCAAGAACTATTTACCCATTTTAATGTATCATGGAATTTAAGAACTTTGTGCCTTTTTGTTGAAAGTATATTTTTACCATTGACAAAGTGACTAAAAGTGTCTGATACTTGATCAGTAAGTATTAATACATTTATAACTAATGTAATGTTTTTAGCAATGTGGAACCTCACAAAATTTTCAAACATGAAAAATCTCTTTATGGTGAACAGCTTTTTAATATGTATTTTGCTTTAGTAATATTTTACTTACATTATATAATTATCAAATAATTTCTTATTTTATAACCCTGTATCATAATCTTCATTGGATTACAGGTTTCTTTCCACATAATTTAGAATCCATCATTAAGTATATAAAGTAGCCAAATAAATCTGCCTAAACATATTGTCAATCATAAAGGTGATTTTTTTTTTCTGGGTGGTAAGCAAAAAAGTCTCTATTTTGTATATAAAAATAAACATTCATATAGTTAGAATAAAACCAACATTCTCCTTTTCAAAGTCTCTGAACTATACTACTTTGATATTTCATATATGTGGCATTGCTAACACCTTTGTTTAATGTGTTTTAGATGAATCACCACATAGAAATAAGACTTGGTCTTAACACTGATAAATCTGTTTTAATTAACCATTTTCACATTATAATAATGAATCGCCTTTCTAATATAATGAAACTGATGATGATAACATTGTTAAACCATATACTAATAAATACTATGCCTAGAAAAAAAAATCACCAATTACGGAATTGTAAAAGTGCTATATGATTTATATCAGATTTCTCTGGATATTGAACATTTTCAAAAGTGTTAAATATTTCCCATATAAATGCACATTTATAGTTTTACATTTTATGAACATTTTGATTAATGTTTCACTGAAAAAGGAAGTTCATTATATGTTGTAGTTCCTTTGACAAGTTACCGAGTTATTCTCTTAACAGCTTTATTATTATTTTCCCTTAGGGTATTAAAGATTATAATATTCTTACAAGGATCACTCAACTAGGGATAATTATTTCACTGATTTGTCTTGCCATATGCATTTTTACCTTCTGGTTCTTCAGTGAAATTCAAAGCACCAGAACAACAATTCACAAAAATCTCTGTTGTAGCCTATTTCTTGCTGAACTTGTTTTTCTTGTTGGGATCAATACAAATACTAATAAGGTATGTAGGCTCTCTTTTCTCTATTTTTATTTTGTAGATATTTGTACTTTTCTAAATATATATGTCATGGAAACATGAATTATAATTAAAGGTTTAATGGGGCAAACATACTATATAATTTGTTCCTAAGCTTTCCTTTCTAAGTTTGATAATGCTAACATATCTAAACAAACTACTTATCGAGTCCATTAAACAAAAGACCAAGGAGAGTGAGAATTGGAAATAAAGTTTACCTTAGGAAAGGGACTGAACATAAATGCAGCCAGGGTTTATAGGTTGAAATATGATAAATTGGTTCTACCTAGCATCTGAACTTTCCTAGCTCCCCATTTCCCAAGATTATTGATCTTGAACACCACCAAATAGTTGCTTCTTTATTTTTGAAAGAATAAATTGTATTTATTGTAAACTATAACAGGTGATTATAAAATATCCAGACTTACCAAAAATACTTTTATATTGTGTTAGTCTGAATCCTCCTAGAAGCAGATACCAAGCTGGGATTAAATATGCAATACATTTGTTAGAGGAAATGCCTGCAAGAGAAAATGGGGAGAGGCTGGGAGAGCCATCAGACTCAGACTCAGGTCTGACCCCAAGTGAAGGAGAAAGGGAAGAAGAGTGGATGGAAGCGTTTTACTGAGCAGTGCAGTTCTAAGGAAAGTTCAGCGCGGGGATCAAGGAGTCTTTGGGGGTTCCTAGAGCCAAAGTCGCCTGTCAGAGGGCTCCTTAGTCTCTCAGGAGCAGGAATGTTTTAGTGACCCTGATTGAAGAAATGTGTTCTCATGACCATGGAACAAGAAATTGCCTCCATATTTCCATCTTCAAAGACTGAAACTAACAATCAGTTATCAAGGTTTTCTTGTCAAGTAGATGCCACAAAGCATCTATTCTAAATAGTATATGCTGGAATATAAACTCCTTGTCTGTTTTCGTGTTTTGCACTATCCTCCAATGCCTATGTCCCCCTTCAGGTGCCACCTAGCATCGTCTTCACTCCAAAACTATTCCTTGTAGTGTTTATTTTCAACTCTCATTCATTTATTAAAGCCTTCCCATTTTCAAGCCATATCTCAAATCCCACTTCCTCAGTAACATGGTTCCCAGTGAGCTCTGTGTTCCCCAACCTTATGTAGTACCCTCCAACATGCTTCAGTATTTAATCTTATTAATCTTGAATTATTTTCTGCTTTAATAAGAAGGATAGGTGTGTAAATGTGTATTATGTTATCCCTCTGGTGATACTTATCATTAATTCTATGATACAGGTGCATGTAACTAATTCTTTTCCTGTTATTTCTTATAAGCTTAACTCCAGTTCTAGATGTGAAGTCAGTACTGTTAAGTAATGTTTAACTGAAAGCCATCTCATATTTACGTGATAATACAACTAAAAGTGATTCTATAATGGATATTTTGGCAAAATATATCATTTGTCTGTTCTGTAAATTTTACTTTGTCACCTAATCGAGATACTCGTTTTATTTTGTTTAGCACTCCATAACCAATAATTTTCATTCATTGAGCATGAATAAAATAAAGGAGAGGCACCTCCAAAACAGAAATCAACTTAAATCATAATGTATTCAGCAAGATACCATGGTTTACATGTGAATAATCCACAACTTATCACACAAAATAAATGTATAAAAATGATAAATCTCGGTACAAGAACAGTAACTTAGTCCTATCACAGGATTGTTTAATGCCTCACTTTGATGAAGCACAGTTCATTTAAATCAGCTAGAAGTAGTACATCTTAAAAAACTGACATGATGGATATTTGAATGTGATCAATTATTACAAAAAGCTTCATAATTTACAGAGAAAGTTGAGATTTTATGTTATGATAACTTTAAAACAAACATTCTCTATGGTTTCTTTCTTTGCTTTTTAGCTCTTCTGTTCAATCATTGCTGGGCTGCTACATTACTTCTTTTTAGCTGCCTTTGCATGGATGTGCATCGAAGGCATACATCTTTATCTCATTGTGGTAGGAGTCATCTACAACAAGGGATTTTTGCACAAGAATTTTTATATCTTTGGCTATCTCAGCCCTGCTGTGGTAGTTGGATTTTCAGCAGCATTAGGATACAGATATTATGGCACCACCAAAGTGTAAGTTAAGATGATTTCATGAGCATTTGAAATGCAATTCTGAATATGCTTTGCATATCTTTGTGATTTTGCTGTTTTACACTACCTACAAACATATTTATAGATTTTTATCTATTATTTACTTTTCAGATGTTGGCTTAGCACCGAAAACAACTTTATTTGGAGTTTTATAGGACCAGCATGTCTAATCATTCTTGTACGTATATATGAAATTGTTTTTAGAATTCAAAAAATTGTGACTAAAGTGTGCTTAAAATTCCCAGCAATCAGATGTTAATCTAAAAAACAAAAGAATTTTGAACACTTTATAGAATATAATTTATTAACATTTTACATGTATTTTGATGGAGAAAAATACATATATTTTGTAAACTCAGAGGTATTACAATTTATTTGCCCTTTCTGGAAGAGGATAGATTTCTACATAACACAGTGATAAAAACATTTTTCACTTATCAGTAATATCTCAACATACTTCAATACTGAGAATGTGCCAACCAACTGATAATCTGGCATTTCAGATGTTTACGTTATTTAATCTTTTATCGATGATTGGTCATCTTTGAAGATTAGACTGTCATCTTTATAGTTTTATCATCTTTATGTACCCTGTCATCATAAAGTGATTTTAAACTAAATTGCAACGTCAGAGACAAGAACCCACTATTTCTCATGAACAGACAAGTCATATATTGATAGTCCTATTTCAGCAAGGAAAAGAGCCTTTTAATTCTTATTGGAAGTGGTTTCAAACCTACAAATTTGGCAGATATTATATGTTCCATTCTAAATAAAGACATTTTTATATGTCTCAAGAACATTTCTAAGTGCTGAAAGTTTTCAACAGCCATTCTGAATATAATAGTCTGTCAATGAATCTAGGAGGTCTGACAAGACTCCAGAGTGGAATGAATTGTCAGTGGAGGAGTCATGACAATATTTTGGACAACTTTGTTCCATATGTGTTGACCATAAGCTAGCCATCTTTTTTTAATTTCTTTTTCTCCCTCACTGTTTTCCCTTGAGTTTTTTATGGTTTGAGTGAGCTGCTAAATGGAGAAAAACTTGAAATGCAAAGCAGAGAGTTTTCATCAAGCTTTGTTTTTTAATGGTGTGGGTGAAATCAAGTGCATTCAGAAACCGTGTTTCCTAATCATCACAGAAAACTATTTATAATTCTCACAATGAATCTAGCAATATTTTAAAAAGAAAAGCCATTGGCTAGATCTCAGCCAAAAGAATTTGAGTTAATTTATTATAACTACAAAATTTTCAACCCACATTACAATACAAACTGAATGTTTCCCATTCACATATTTTCACGGGTTGCCCTGATATGAGTATTTTGTGTGAAGACATATTCTACATATTCTAGTTTTACTGATTTCCTCTTACAGAGTGAACCATCTCTGATATTGTTCCACACAAATGAGAGGTCTGTGGAGCAAAGAATCTCAAAGTTTAAGTGAAAAGTAGCAGGCTCGCAATTGTATTGAAACAGTAAAGGGAAAGTATTCTCTGAAATCATTTTTTATAGTTGCTTATGCAAGGCTAATTGGAATTATGTTACAGAAAGGTACAGAGACTTCAGATGGGTTTATCTAAAAATGAGTCCTGCAAACTTTCCTAGAAGTCTAAATGAACACCATCAC